TCTACCGTGCTGCGCAGCGCTGCACTGGGTAATAAAAAGAATATACAACCGTTAGTTGGCGTCCTACACAGGCATGACGTTTTTACGAACGGGACTTTGCTCTCTTGTTCTATTTATACTCTTTGCTAGTAGCCACAATTGCTCGCTCAAGAGACCTTCGGCATTCGTAAGATTAAATGTCAATCTTTTACTATATCGAAACCTTCATGACAAGCATTTGTGGCATTTTAAAATATATAGTCTGGAAAAGTAAGTAATTTGGAACATTAATACTACATACTTTACAAAAAAATATGTTTAAACTCTGCTTGCTTAGTAAATGTAAGTTAGGGAATACGCTTGCAACATATGTATAATGGTCTTAAATCAGTAGTCATGTGTTAACTTGCTGTATATTTGTTATAAACACACACAAAAATATTAAAAAGAAAACGACAAGTTTGAGATCTAAGACCAAATTGCGGACGTTGGTGGTGATATTTTCATCTTGTTGCTGAACTGTCGGTACCGCGCGTCTATTATCAAAGAATTGACCCAGCATAGAAGTTAATTGACTTGAACAATAGCGAACAATAGGAACTCAATCGGATTAGCACGCCTTAGTTCGAGACCATTCCATGTAATCATGGAGGAAATATTCCCTTGCCCATACAAAGTCTCTGCTCCCGAAGAAATACTGTATTTCTATACTTGACCTTGCTAACCTATTTCATTTTATTCAAATCTATCAATTTATAACCGGGAGCATTCACAATAAATCACAGCTTATTTGAACATGAAATAAAATAAGTACAAGTACAGAAAATAATTCGAGAAAAATATTAATTCTGATTGCTGTTTAAGAGCACAGTGATACAGAATAGGGATATCTTTATGTATCAATTTTTAATACACTATGCTCAAGTGGAAAATTTAGAGGTACCGTACTCGCGCAAATAAGCGCCCGGGCGCTTAAAATATTTTTTTTGCACTTTCTGAGGGGCGCTTATTCAAACGGGGCGCTTATTTAAACGGGGCGCTTATGAAAACAGAGTGGAAATTGAGGGGCGTTTATGGAAATAGCTGAAAATCGAGGGATTCTTATGGAAAATTATTAAATTCAAGAGGCACTTTTGAATGAAAAGCACATTACGAATATGGTGGTTAGGCGGAAAAAATAATCCTCCAGAGAACATGGCTCACGACAAGAATGCGTGATTATTTACATGACAGCAAAATAGCAGATGCAATTAATGGTGGTGGGTAGTGGTTGGCTTGTTGGCCATCGGCCGATTGAGATTAACAGGATGGCAGGATCAATGTATTTTTTCTTGAAAACCCAGATGAGAATGTGTTAAAGGTCGGAAAAAGAAAAAGAGGAGTAGGACTACGCATAGACAAATATGTAAAAAGTGTAAAGTTGGATATACTGTCTGTCCAGGGATCGGAGCTCTCATGTCCAAGAGAAATATCCTCATTTTGGTATTGACCTAAAAAAAGAATGTGTTTCGCACTCTGCAGCACAGTCCAGTATTGATTGGATTATTGACTTGCTAAAAAGAAAATCTTATGATATTATTGACCGGGGCGCTTATTCAGTTTAGAATGGGGCGCTTATTCAAACGGGGCGCTTATTCGCAGAGTACGGTAGTTGCTAAATACAACGGGTTCAGCCGAGGGGCGTGGCTTCGTATGTTTACGTAATGCATAATTAATAAGGTAGGCCCAGTTGTCTGTTATCACAGAGCATAGCAAAACACAGCAACTCCATTTTACAACCAATGTTTAAGGAAAAATAAGTTGTCCCTGTGTAATTTTCATTCCAAAATTAGAATCCCTGGAACATTATCAATTTATGAGGTTTACATAGAGTGAAATAATACATAGGCCTAGTTAGTCATATTTTAGCGGTAGTGATTAGGCTGTCCGTAATCACAGAAAGAAATGAAAACAATTAAATGGCCTATACTACTAGTACTACAATATTGTACTTAGTCTGTGGATTTTCAAACCTAATCCAATGAACAAATTATCTTAGTGGAAGAGAAAATTGGCCTAATATATTAAAATTACAACTTATATTACAACATAACTACTGACGTCAAGATTTATTACTTTTTAATGTTTCACAAAATTGCTGGCTATATTACACAAAAAGAGAAGGAGAAAATGTTGAATACCGGTATTTAATTAAAATAAATATAAGCTTATTAACTTTTTAATGTCTTTTGCAATTTGATACAAGTGAATTGAAATGAATTGAATTGAATATAATTATGTACTAAAACAAGCATTGCATTATATGTCTTCAGGGTGATATAGGTGACCAAAGTTTGTATTCTAATTCTTTGTAAGGTCTTCATAATACAATGAAGCTAAACATACTTAAAATATCTAAAAAGTATTAGGCCTATATTACCTTAATTAACAAATTAAAGGATGTGACTAAACAGTTTAACGTTTAGAAATATAGTTAAAATAATGGGGAGGAGTGGTAGATAAAACAGTATCCAAAACGATTAGAATATAAATGTTCTAAGTTAATTCAAAATTAATATTGTTTTATTTATTTTTTAAATAAACAAAAACCTGCATAAGTAAGCTCACCTGAGTGTGCAATACCAATGATAACTGCTATATATCGAAGCATTTTCTATAGGTACATTAAACTTTGGTAGAATGGAAAGCGGACTAATAAATTCACGATGCCGAAAGCAGGCTAACAACTCGGCCCTTTCCAGGTAAGAATTATTACTGGAAGCTGCCAATGGTTTCTAGTGAGGTGCAAATGCAGTTAGTGTCTGAAGATAACTGGCTTAATGTACACTTTAGTACTTGTTTAACAGGGGACGTTATCTAATGTTTACCAAGGTGGCAACTAAATAGCGCCCTCCCTTATTATTACACCATACTTTCCTGTATGCTTTATTTAAACTTCTATGTCTTACATGTTAGCATGCAAAACATGTTGGTTTTAACCAACTTTATTCATACAGTATCTACCGCTCTGTTGCTGATTGAAAATAAAGCAGAAGCCTGTTATAAAGACAGATCCAAATACCCATGGCTGGGATCAGTGACGCTTTCATCCAAATTTAGAAAAGTCAAGTTAAGATGAGAATAGTTTTCGTCATCAAACGCAGGTGTGGGGATCGCACGCGTGGGGATCAGCTTATTGTTGTCGTCTGCAGTTACGTCATCCTGAACGCTACCGGTAATACAGGCTTTTCGATTTAACGTATCGTGTGAATCTTCTGTGGAATCATTCCCAACAAGCCTGAAATTACCATAGGAACCACCATTTTGAAGTGAAAGAATGTTTTGTTTGTTGACGCCCCCGTCTTGGTCTCCCTTCGGTGTGCCGTCCTCCTTTGATACTTCTGTGTTGCTCGTCTCGCTTTCCCCAGGGTGGGTAGCGTTTGAATACTCAGACTCAGCCGCCTTACTCTGAGGTGCAGGTGGATCTGTATTCGTTGCGGTACTGGTATTATGTACGAGGAACATATAATTAGATTGTGAATCATTCTGCTTTAGTATGAAGTCACTCTTCACCGGTTCTTTTGGCAATGTGTAGTACTCAGAAGAATCTTTTGATTCCACTGCGCTAACAGTTGGTGTGCTTTGTTCTTTACTGCCACACGGGTAACTAGTATGTTCATACCTATTCGTTTCTGTCGTTGTGTTGTTTAATATGGTATAGTCTGAGTCTGAGTCACTATCAATCTCTTTGTGCACGTGACTGTTCTCAGATATTGCCATATTGTGGATTTTATCTGTAAGTAAAACATTTATTTAATTTTTAACTACAAGACTTAACAATTATATTTGAATTTGTTTGCAAGTTGATATCAGTATTATAATTTTAATAGCAATTATTCATCATCATTATCATATTATTTATATTTACATTTATAATTATTATTTTACTATTATTGTATTGTTACTATAGAAAATTTTATTGTTTTTAATATTATAACATAATAAAATATCAAGAGTTTATAGACCTAGAATTTGTTCAGATTAGCAAGAATGCACCTACCTGTGGTTCTATTGACTCCGTCGTCTACATAGGACACTGGTTGAGATTTTGACCTAAAAAGAATATAAATTAAAAAATATATGAACCTAAATAGGCCTTTCACGAGGTTGTGAGTACTGGGGTGGGTCCCGCTAATTGCAGATCTGGATCTGCCCCAGGAGTATCTAGGTAATCATTCTGTGTATACAAGATTAAAATTCTGAAGCATACACACCAGTGAACACACAAATTTTTTGAAAAGACGCCAACAAAAAGTTCATATCTGCTTCTGTTTAGAACAACTTTTTGGGTAGGTTTTTTTTCAACTTCCTGATTTCTTGTCTCGATACCGGAGTGTATCTGATGCTAATAGAGACCTGACTTATGGAGACATGCTAAAAACACAAGAAATACATAAAAACCTATATTTTATTGTATAAAAACAATTTTGAAGATAATAATGGGATTTATTACGGAGCCCCTAAAGGGACATGGTTAAGAAAATATTAAACTATTTCAAGGGAACGAAATAATATTTCTTCCGAGGGAAAAAAATAATATTTCGTTCGAACGAAATATTATTTCGTTCCCTCGAAGTCATTTCGGGGAAACGAAATCATTTCGTTAATATTAATATTATTAATATTCATAAAATTCATTAATATATATTTTTGTTTAATCCCATGTGGAGTTCTTCCATTCCCTTTCTCCTTGTGAAATCTCCAAAATCAGTTTACAATCATTGATTGTATTGAATGCATTTCTATTGTCTCCATAAGCATTGTCATGTGAAGCATCTTAGGACGCCCTCTGTACATAAAATATAGCCTACTGGAACCATAATATTTCACTTTATTCAAACTCAAGTTCCTCATTTGTAACAGTTCGTGGCCAATGGAAAATTTCAAGTTACAATTACACGAGGGAATGGCAATAAAACATATAAAAAGTTACATTATAATGGAAGATAATTATTGTCATTATTATAAAAATTATTATAAGAATTATTTTAACATTAACAATGAAATTTAATACGATAAAACTTTACATTATAATGGAAGATTATTATTATCATTTATAAATATCAAAATATTCATTAAAAAAGGGGGTCGATTCAGTTTAATCAAGTTTAATCTGAGAGGAGAGCATCTCATTTATTTACCAAATTCTTATTCATAAGGTCAATAAAGTAAGGGATGGGACTGTCAGAAAACCGTTTTGTATGAGAAGCCAGGCGTGAAATTGTATTACGGTTTCGTAGGTTTCGGCTATTTAATTTAAATCTGGTAGGTTGTAATAGATCTGCGGAATGTTTTTAGCAAAATTGAGGCAATGAGATACCCTCTTCTCAGCAAGGGAAGAGAGATTCAACTATTTATATATATATAACTATTTTCCTCCAGAGACGTGAAAAATGTACGTTCAACTTACTGAATATTTCTCTTCTTCCAATGTACTGTACTAAAGCAATTTCAATAATAATATTCTTACAATTGTCTCACAATTCGAGTTTGTATAAAATTAGTTTTTACGAGTTTTTAACGGGTAGGAACTCATGCCCGGGTAAGTCACCTAAAAGAGTGGTGCTCTACAATATATTTCTTCAAGATCGGTGCACGCGTCTGGACGGCAAATCGTCACAGACTTTTGGTCTTTACTATTATTACATCTTCATAATCACAATCATCATCATCATTATCATCATTATCATCATAACCACCATCACCATATTAAAAAATATGTAATACTTGCCCTTTTCTAGATTTCATTTTAATGAAATGCCTAATCACTAGGAAAATTCCAATCAATAATACAGCAGACACAATTAATCCTATCACAGCATTGGTAGCCGTACTACTGTTGCAAATATCTTCTTTACTGTTCTCTTGTCTCTGGACAACAGTAGTTGCTGTAATTGTCGACAATTCTGAATTTAAACAATAAAAGATGAAGCTATTTAACTAGTTGCTTGTAAGTAAGTCAAAAGAGCCTGTGGTTTTTCTTGGTTTATTGGTAGATGCAGCTTTTATGATGGCTCTTATGTTTTCTTGCTCGCTTGATCAAACGATCGTTGGCCTACTAAGATTTTTTTTTTTGATATTATTTATCAAACTTACCTGGATACGTTGTATCTTGTTTAGTTGTACACTGTTGGCAATAAACATATATCATTCTGCACATAATGTTAATGTCACTGTCACAATCTATATAAAATGTAAATAGGATTTAATACTGATACTGTAAGTCTATATTTATTATCAAAAATATTTATTATCTTTATGGTAATTATTAGTAAAATGATCTTTCGAATAATTCATAGACCTATATATTTTTTGTTACTACAGGGTTGTCTTTTCCACGAATTTGACCACAGATGCCATTAAAAAATGCAGTACAAATAAATATAAACTAAAAAATAAAGAAAAATTAAAATTTTAAAGACAGTTTTACATAATTTTTAACAATTTCAAGACTAATTGAATTAAAGTATTCAAAAGGCATTATCAAAAATATGTTTTTAAAATTAGCTTAATCCATTATAAATACTCAAAATGAGATAAAATGTATATATTTATGGAAGGCCTAATAATGCTACTGTTGCTACTACTTCTACTGCTGGCTGCTTCTTCTGCTGCTGCTACTGTCGCCGGTACTGCTGCTGCTGCTATTGCTGCTGCTTTTGCTACTGCTGCTTTCGAATATGCACCTATCTCACAACACAGACGCCTCTACAAAAGTGCCGCGGCATTTATTGTCATTTTATTAGAAGCCATTCAGTCCCAACACTATCAAACAATACAAACGATATTATTGAAGCATTTACTGAATGAAAGAATATATGTAACACATACATACAATATAAATTCAATTTTATGGATGTAGGGATTGTTGCGAGCTGTTTAAGAGTAAATTTACCTGGTGGTATTGGTAAAATGGGATTGCGTTTCGCAAGTTGTTACTAAAACGCAAAAGGTATTATAATAAACAATTTGGCTTACCTCTACTATTAACTCCTGAACACGTTCTATAGCATGTAATGCGACAGTTACTACCGTTTCGGAAAAAGGGTCTCCCTTGCCACGTTATGCATATCTCATTACATACATCCACGCTATAATGATAAATAACTATTAATACCTACAATGCTTTAAAACCTGTAAATTGTCAGTTCAACGAAATTGTAGGCATATTAAACAAAATTGTTTATTTTGCTCTATTTTATTTGAACAAAATGTTCATCCAGAGAGAGCTGATCAACTGGGAACTTCAGTGCATGCAATATGCCTAAAAGACAATTGAGAATATAAAGGAAAAATTTGGTTGCGTTTATTTAGTAAATAAAATTAATTTAAGTAAACCTATATGCAGCATTTGAAATTCTAGCTTAGCATATTCCATTAGCTTATCATATAGGTCTCTATATAAAAATGAAGCGATGAATACACGCTATAGAAGTCATCCACGTGCGAAATGGAACTACAAAATATAGTGATAATCATAAGTTTGTAAGAAAACAAAGAAAGTAGCACTTTTGATTCTAAAAAGGTAGGAGAATAACCCATAACTTGAATGAATTGCGGGTGGGCGTGGTCCATGAGTTTCTGCCGTCGTAAAAAGGCGCTTATGATACGGTAATACCGTACTCGCGCGAATAAGCGCCCCGTTTGAATAAGCGCCCCTCTCGTATAACCGCCCCTCCTAACGTGAACATTTCCTTAAGCGCCCCGTTTGAATAAGCGCCCCCTTTAAGATTTTATTTTTAGCAAGTCAATGTGATGGTGGTTGTTGGCATGATTTGAGTTGTAGAGTAGAAACACATTCTTCTTCGGTCAATATCAAAATGAGGATATTTCTCTTGGAAAGATGAGAGCTCCGATCCCTGGACAGACAATATTTCCAACTTTACTCTTTTTATATAGGCCCTATTTTTCTGTACCTAGTCCTAGTCCTACTCCTCTTTTTCTTTTTCCGACCTTTAGCACATTCTCATCTGAGTTTATTAAAAAAAATACAATGATCCTGCCATCCTGCTAATTTCAATCTGCCGATGGCCAACAGGCTAACCACTACCCACCACCACTAATTGCATCTGCTATTTTGCTGTTATGTAAATATTCAGGCATTCTTGTCATGAGCAATGTTCTCTCGACGATTATCTTTTCTAACTACCATTCGTAATGTCCTTATATAGGCCGGCTAATATTTTTTCATTCAAAAAGTGCCGCTTGAAATTAATAATTTACCATAAGAACCCGATTTTCATCTAATTGCCAAGCGCCCCTCAATTTCCACTCTGTTTTCATAAGGGCCCCGTTTAAATAAGTGCCCCTCAAGAAAGTGCAAAAAAATATTTTAAGCGCCCGGGCGCTTATTGCCGCGAGTACGGCAGTATAGCTACAGTATGTTCACATCATTAATTCCCAAACGACAGAGGCTGTAATAAAACTATGACGTCGCGTGGTAATCCTCTACTTACGGAAGCACCTAAGTGCCATTCGACTTGACAAGATAATTATGTTGTCAAGTCGACATTATATACATATTATGTCGACATGACGAGATAGATTATCTTGACAAGTCGACATACTAAAAATGTTTTGTTGTCATGACGAGATAGGTTATCTTGAGAAGTCGACATAATAAAAGTTGTATGTTGTCATGGTGAGATAAATTATCTTGACAAGTCGATATAATAAAAAGTGTATGTTGTCATGGCGAGATAGGTTATCTTGATAAGTCGACATAATAAAAGTTGTATGTTGTCATGGCGAGATAGATTATATTGACAAGTTGACATAGTAAAAATTGTATGTTGTCATGACAAGATAGGTTATCTTGACATAATAAAAGTTGTATGCTGTCATGGCGAGATAGGTTATCTTGACAAGTCGACATAATAAAAATTGTATGTTGTCATGGCGAGATGATTTTTATTATGTCGACTTTTCAAGATAATCTATCTCAACAAGACAACATACAATTTGTATTATGTCGACTTGTCAAGAAAATCTATCTCGCCATGACAACATACAACTTTTATTATGTCGACTTGTCAAGATAATTTATCTTGCCATGACAAGATACAATTTGTATTATGTCGACTTGTCAAGATAATCTATCTCGCCATGACAATATACAATTTCGACTATGTCGACTTGTCAAAATAATCTATCTCGCCATGACAACATACAATTTTGACTATGTCGACTTGTCAAGATAATCTATCTCGCCATGACAACATACAATTTTTATTATGTCGACTTGTCAAGATAACCTATCTTGCCATGACAACATACAACTTATATTATGTTGACATGTCAAGATAATCTATCTTCGCATGACAACATTCAATTTTTACTATGTCGACTTGTCAAGAAAATCTATCTTGCCATGTCGACATGATATGTATATTATGTCGACTTGACAACATAAATTATCTTGACAAGTTGTCAAGTCGAATGGCACTTAGGTGCTTCCGTATCTACTCTTTCGAAAGATGGATGTGTTATTTAAAATGCACAGGAGCCAGGCGTACACACTGGACGTTTTAAGCCCTTATCCGAGAAGACTTGGTTCTACAAACCGAACCCTTGGAGAGGAGTGGCTCCCACCAGGGCCGATGCTACCGTAGGCTGTATAGTTAGCGGTGAACCTGTCTCTACTCGGCCACTCGACTCGCATTTCGCTTGTTTGCGTCATTGAGCAAAGCACTTTATCTAGGCCTACATTGTCCAATTGTCTACCCATGGACCTATTCCTATACCCAGCTGTACCAATGCTTAGACAACCGTACTTTTGTATTTAAGTCAAACCTTTCCTAGTAGACAACTTGTAGTCATCCCCTTAGTATTCTAATACAACCCACAGAGGTAACAATACGGTTCATATGTGTGAAAGGGGAATTTCGCTTGTTTCGTCATTGAGCAAAACATTTTATCTAGGCCTACATTGTCTAATTGTCTACCCATGGACCTATTCCTATACCCAGCTGTACCAATGCTTAGACAACTTAAACAACCGTACTTTTTTATTTAAGTCAAACCTTTCCTAGTAGACCCAACTCGTAGTCGTCCCCTTAGTATTATAATACAACCCGCAGAGGTTATAATACGGTTCATATGTGTTGAAAAGGGGAATTGTTGCTAAAGACAGTGTATTACAGGCCAGGCTAGGTTAATCTCCATACACGAACACGGCATGATATCAATACCAATGTAAAACGATGTATTTTACAGAAATCATTATAAAAGATCTTTTATTTTCTGCATATACTTTCGATGTGCATGGCTATCTAGTCTGCGAGCGTTTGTTTCCTTATGTGAATCGCTGAACCGAATGCAGCTACCAGAAAGACACTGTATTACAATATACAATTTGGAATTCATTTTGTTTGTTTAACAGTATTTCGATTATGACTTATAATTGGCGTATATAATAGAAAAATCACTTCCTGTCCTATACTGTTTAAAAAACAGCAACAGTGAACGCATGCATACGGTACCTCACAAAGAAGTACGAAATATATACCAGGCTTTGAACTTCTCCTATCGACCACTTATATTTAATTAAACACACCTTCACACTCAAAAAACGTATTGAATAATACTAGGACCACACAATATAAAAAAGAAACAAAGAATTTTTATTTGTTCTCATAATCATACAAATTTATTTTAGATATACACTTTTCAAATCAATAACAGGAACATTTAAAAGAAGACGCACAATTATTAAAAAATGCAGGTGATTAGAAGAGAGTAACATAGCAAAATACTGTATTTGAAACTGGTCATAGGCCCATGCTCTTCCTCTCTCCAGGTTATTGCGCATTGTTTTTCAAAATGGTGGTTTAGCTCATGGGATAGGGTTAGAATATGGGATTGCCTCTCTTCCGGATGTACTGCCCATTATCCGGGTAGGGCTGCTCTGCGGCTGTCATGAGTACTTACTAGGTTCTGAGCCTTGATTAATTTATTAGATTTTTCTTTCCTTTACTTTTACACAACACAAATACAATATATTAGTAAAATCTTTTGTAAAGTTCTTAATTAAGGTCAATGTAGTATTATAATAATAGGAGTAATTATAACTATAATATTAATAATTATTTTAAAACGATAAATAGCAGTTAATAAAATAGCCTTAATAATAATTATAGTAATGATACTAGTAATAAGAGAATATAGAAACAGCATATAGATGAATATCATTCCACGGATTCGGTCCGGTGTAGTGACCGATGTTATTCTATGTGTGGTGGAATATTTTTCATAAATTATATTATTTTTTAGCAGTCGCAGATCTGGTATGATAAGAGGGTTGTTGGTTCAGTCTTTTGAAATATAAATGAAATTAAGGCGGAAGATGGTTATTGCTTAGATGGAGCATAAACAAGGCAGTCTGAAGTTTGTTTAGACTGTTAAACGAATAAAACAATTGTTTTGTGTGCGTTCTATGTGGTGCACATGCGCAATATGTTATAGAGAGGGCCCATATTCATCCGGTGTTTTCATTTTTTTTAGTGGAATAATCACCTCAGATCTAAACCCTTCAATATCATTCAAAGGCCACCAAGAATTTGACTTTAAATTAAAAATGGCAACAAAAATCCAGAATGGCCTCCAAAAATTACAATTATTAACTTAATTCTGTAAAACAAACAAAGTGGTCATATACGAATATAAGATGTTTTATAGNNNCTTCAGTAGTAGACTTTAAGAACACTGATTTATTATAAACTCGGATATTTCTGCCACTCCTGTGGCCTTCATCAGCGAGAATAAGGAAAACATCATGAATCAATATAATATAGGCTGTCTTATCAAAAAAGAATAAAGGTACTGACAGAGAGCAAATGAGAAATACTTATAAAACTGTAAAGTGATTGGTCTTTTATCTATGCATACTGAGTATCTACTAGTCAAATATACTATCCATTGTATTAAGATGGTTATTTCAGAGAAATGGATCATATAGAGATTGTAACTGAGCCAACTGTGTGAAGACCTTATAATATAACGTATGCTAGGCCTGTGAATATACCTAGAATAATGAATGAAGCAATGCAGTAATATAATAATAATAAAAGTAATAATAATAATAATAGTAATGATGATAAAAATAATAGTAATAATAATAGTAATAATAATAATAATAATAATAATAATAATAATAATAATAATAAAAATAATAATAATAATAATAATAAAAATAACAATAATAATAGTAATGAGTAAATTCCAAAAAATAAAATAAAAATCGGGTAACTACAGAAACGGATCGAAATAAAAAGTTATGCCTTAAAAAACGAGAACCCACTAAGGAAACCAAGAACCTTGTTGAAACCAGATACGTGTGTCTTGTGTCTGATAATGAGTTTGAGTTCCATGAGTCTACGTTGGTTGAGGGAGGAGAAATTAGTGGATATGAGGGCACACCGTAGGTTGCTGAGAGAATGCTTGGGAGAGTTAAAGTGTTCTGCTACAGGAAAACCTGTGCGATTGTGTCGGATAGAAGATTTGTGGTTATTAACACTACATTTTATAAAGGAGGAGCCACGACCATCATGAGCCAAACCAGTTATATCGAAGAAGCCAATGAACAATTATCGAACACTACATTTTATAAGAAATTAGATAAGGACCATACTGTTGATTTTAAACGTGAACTTTTGTACATGACCACAGGGTTATCTACTCATACCCGTTCACGTATGCCTGCTCTTATCCGTAGGAACCCACAGCTAGGTACGTTTTACACCATTCCAAAACTACACAAGCTACCCAAACTTATCGACAACATGCTCACAACCAACCCACACAACATATCCACATCCATTGATCCATTCAAAATATTTGGCATCGCTAAGTCGCTCAATATTCATCCACCAGGCCGTCCCATCATCTCCAATATAGGAACGCTTACTGAACATCCGGTTACGTGGATTCTGTTATTAAACCTTTCATCCCCTCCATCCCCAGCTACATCAAAGATACCACGCACTTTCTCAACAATCTCTCACAAATCCCTAACCTTCATACGGATGCTCTATTGGTCACCATGGATGTCACATCCCTGTACACGAACACCCCCCCCCCCATGCTGAAGGCCTAGCCGCCCTTGAATCGTTGCTCAGCAAAAAATCGTTTCCATTAGATCATATCCAGGATATTTTATCTATTTCTAGGTTCATACTTACCCATAATAATTTTATATTTAAAGATCAACACTACCTTCAGATCAGCGGTACTGCCATGGGTACTAAAATGGCCCCCAATTATGCTAATGCCTTCATGGCTTCTCTCGAGGAGTTATCAACAGTTTTCACCTCAAACCCTTGCATTATGTCAGATACATTGGCGACATTTTTTTTATATGGAACCATGCCATTAATGCGCTTGAGCTTTTCAAAACTCATGCGAACACTTTTCATCCCACTATTAAATTCACGTTTGAACACTCTCAACACACTCTCCCGTTCCTCGATGTCTCTGTCAAGGTTACAGACGGGCAACTCTCGACTTCTTTGTACTGTAAGCCCACCGATCGTCACTGTTATCTTAACTATAACAGCTTTCATCCCCTTATACTCAAACAATCATTGATATTCAGTCAATGTCTTCGCATCAGACGAATTTGTTCCAACGATGATGACTACTTTGATCACGTCAACAAGCTCACGGCTTACTTTCTGGATAAAGGTTTTCCTCTTTAATTCATCCTCAAGCAAACCTCTAGAGCTAATAGGTTTTCTAGACCTTCTCTCCTCTCTCCCAATCCTAAGCCCATCACGGAACGCATACCCCTAGTCATTGATTACAGTCCCAGTAATTCCCAAATAGCTAACAGACTTAAACAAGGATTTCAATCCCTCAAACTCGATCCCTCCATAAACACCATTTTCAATGATCCCCCAGTAGCCAACCGCCCAATCTCAAATCTATTCTATCTTCATCTCGCTTACTTTCACCCTGTAGGTCCGCTGGTAATACCAAATGCCACAAGCCTAGATGTCAAATTTGTAAATTTATCCCCACCGATTGCTCTATTACTATGCCTAATTCTGGCTGCATTATTCGTCTCCCCTCTCCTAACTGTGATGCTCACAATGTTGTAGATATGTTATTCTGCAATATTTGTGATGATAGTCATTATTTTTGCGAAACTGGTGTTGATTTTAGGTCCAGATTTAATAACCACAAATCTTCTATCCAACGCAATCGCACAGGTTTTCCTGTAGCAGAACACTTTAACTCTCCCAACCATTCTCTCAGCAACCCACGGTGTGCCCTCACATCCACTAATTTCTCCTCCCTCAACCAACGTAGACTCATGGAACTCAAACTCATTATCAGACACAAAATACACGTATCTGGTTTAAACAAGGATCTTGGTATCCTTAGTGGGTTCTCGTTTTTAAAAGCATAACTTTTCATTTCGATCCGTTTCTGTAGTTACCCGATTTTATTTTATTTTTTGGAATTTACTCATTACTATTATTATTGTTATTTTTATTGTTATTTTTATTATTATTAATATTATTATTATTATGATTATTATCATTACTATTATTATTATTATTACTTTTATTATTATTATATTACTGCATTGCTTCATTCATTATTCTAGGTATCACAGGCCTAGCATACGTTATATTATTAGGTCTTCATACAGTTGGCTCAGGTACAATCTCTATATGATCCATTTCTCTGAAATAACCATCTTATCTGTGTAGTGCTGGCTAATACAATGGATAGTTTATTTGACTAGTCTCTGCAATTAACACCCTTGGTTCTTTATTATTGTAGATACTCAGTATGATAGATAAATAGACCAATCACTTTACAGTTTTATAAGTATTTCTCATTTGCTCTCTGTCACCTTTATTCTTTTTTGATAAGACAGCCTATATT